CTTTTATATGGATGGCAAAAAAAATATGAAATGGAAATTTTGGTTAGACTACCTGCTGTGCTTGATTAAGAGCTGGCATATGGGTCATGACCTTTTGGAGAGCTCATCCAGCCCTGAATAGTGGCAGTTCATGGGGGATGGACCTCCAAGTTTCTGGGCTTTTAAAGACTACCAGAGACCATTGTGTATTCCAGCTTTACTTCACTATATGAACTATATAAAGCTGGGAATTTTGGCCTCTATTTCTATAGATCTTTCAGGGATTTTTTGACATTCTATAAACACAGTCTGATGTACAACATCTTCTATACATCATCTAGGAAATTTTCATTATACTGCAGGAATTTACTGTGCATGTGGATCAAGGGTCAAAAATACCCTTTGATCTATCTGAATAAATACGTCTCGCAAGCTGCGAGACATTCACAGACATAGATGAGCGAAGCTTCAACAACGGCAAAAAATATTTTTCTCAGTGGAATGAAATTCTTGGAAACGAGTTGCTGTAGCTTTGGCCTACAAAGAGTGCACAATTTCAGTCCTCAAAGGTCAGAGTTTTGGGGTGGCCAAAATAAATTTGCTTAATGAACACTGTTGTTGCATTAATACATTGTTAACTGTTAGCTGATTCCAGGAGTGCCATCATCCTTAAAGTGGATCTGAACTCAAAAAGTAAAACATTGCTGTTACCCTAAAATGTACTTTTTGTCTGGAATTCCTCCTGAAAAATAGAAGTATACTTCCTGGTATGTGAGGGTGCCTAGGCTCTTCTGCGCATACAGCTTTATAGCTGTATATGTGCAGTGTGAGCTCTAAGCCACTGCTGCCTCTGACTGCCTATTTATAAGATTTGTATGTCATTACTGTGTTGCTCACTGCTTTCCTTGCTGGAGGCTCTGGCATGAGGAAGGAAAACTCTTCCTTTACCAAGATGGCCACACAGAGACCAGTGCAAGTGAATAATTGGGGAAAAATCAGTTGCAGGCAGGGGGGCCACAGGCAACATTGGTATCTAGTCCCTTGACCCTCTGCATGTGTTTTTTGGGTGCAGCTTCCATAGCTCAGGCCGTATTTGAAGTATATCTAAAGCCAAAATGTTCTTTTAGTTTTAGATAGGGTATGGAGGTGATAAAAACTTTCAGAGTCAACCTCATATTGGTGACAACTATCACTAAGACAGAAAGTGATGAGAACCAACATTTTGCCATCAGAACAGAATGTGCAAACTTGTTACAGCTAAGAGGAGGTTTACTCTCACTTTGGGGAAGTTTTCACTCATTTCCTGTTTTAGTTTTGGGCAGGAAGTGAAAGGAAATCTCCTCGATGGGACACAGACAGCAAAAAAGTGACTGGGAATTTAATCTTTCCTTCCTCTATCCAAAACTAAGCGAAAGGCAGCCAGGCAGCTAGCATTTCTAGAAGGAAAGTTGCTTTCTGCAAGATTTCCTTTATTTTGCACTTGGGAACTTGAGTTGTTTCCCGAATTGTTGTGTTATTTTACACAGAAACGTTGGTTATCCTTCCGTCAAGTTGAATAAACATGCAGATGTATATAGAAGACAAGCATTGGAGGAGGCTGGCGTAGAGTAGTTGTAGTTGACTAACGCCATCTGCACAGCTGCAGTCTTGATCTTGATTCATTGCTTCACTTCTGTACAGTGTTCAGACTGTGTGACTTCTCAGTGTTTGTTTGCTGGCTAAGGTGGAGGGAAGCCAGGAACACTAGTGGAAATAATGTAGTGAAATATAAACTATGAGCACAGCTCAGGGAAAGATGTTCAGTTCAGAGCTCCAGGACTAGAGAAGCTGTGGCCAGCTAGTAGAGCATGTCATTTGTAGTTCTTTGGTATTTCCCAGTGCCATATTTAAAGCCAAAAAAAAAGACAAGTTGCTTCCTTTTTAACAGCAAGCAAGTGAAATGTGATAGAGATAGAATATCGCGTAGCTTGCATTTTTATATTCGTAATAATAGAAAAAGATTCTTGGCAAGGACACGGCAATTTATTTAGTAGCTGCAAGACAGTCAGACAGATGTCACTGCAGCATTTTAGATGTATGCTTTTGATGCCTGCAGCGAGTATGTACTCTTAAATAGTGCGGATATTTGGGAAGGGGGGTGGGAGGAAACGAGACTCTTAACAGCCTCACCTGGGAACGCAGCTGTCCTGCTTCACCCTGGGGTTAGATTTCACAGTTCAGCTCAAACACAACTTAAGCAACTTTTTCTTTATTGCAGTTTAAACACAAGTCGCCAAATCAAACACATAAGTTTTCCCCCTTGAGGTCTTCTTTAACCCGCTAGCAACCACTCCAGCAGTTAAGTAAGGTATGCACAGTTGGAATTTTGCAAGGAACGTTCGTATGAAAAATCCCATCTGAACATCAGAAACTTGCCGATTGTCGTTCGAAAATTTGGTTTAATTTTCGTTTTCATTTATCATTCCATTTTGAAATGAATGGAGTTTCTGAACGAAAATCGTTGTTAGAAATTTGTTCGATCGAGAAAATTTTTCCAACATGCTTCTTTTTGAATGTTTTTCATCACTGTGGTCGAAATAGATTGTTGATCTGATCCCATTAACGATTAGAAAGTTGAACGAACATTCTAAATTTGATTTTTTTTTGTTCGTTCAAAATTCTAACCATGTATACCCCACTTTAGTCTTAAAGGATAATTGCATGGAAATACAGTGACACCCTTTAGTGGTCACAGATTATGAATAACTTCCAATAATCAGTAGCTGGGTGAGGCTTACAGTGGGGCCCAGAGCTTGAGAAAGACCCCTTCATGTTTTCATGTTCACTAGTAGTCCAAAGAGAAGGCAGTAAGAGGTTGAAAGGTACAAAGTCTGAGCCCCTTCTCTGAACTGTTCAGTAGTAGACTGGAAATTCTTTCTCTGAGATATTGGATCTGGAGACCCAGAGAAGAAATAACCCCCCAGCATTGCAAAAATCAGTTTTTGTTGGACTGCAGAATACAGTGGGCTTTAAAATGTCTCCAGGGCTATTGATTCAGTAATATATTACAGTGACTCAAAGAGGCCCAGTTCTTCTCCCCCTTCTCCTCCTCCTCCTCCTCCTCCTCCTTTTCACAAGTATGTATCTCATAAGCAGCTGTATCTCATAAACATCAAATAAACTGTGGTTGCTGTGTGGGTGTGGGGGCTGGTGTCGGGATTAGCAAAGCACTTCCAGCCTGTGCTGTGTTTTACTGCCTGGTATGTGATACTAACTGATAGCAGTACGCTTATATACTTCACTTGTACTTTGCCTTAGACCTATAAACTCATATGTTTCCTTCATGACAGTTGTCCCATGTGGCCGTTTCCTACAGTCAGCTCATATCAGCGCCATGTGATGAGGCTCGCTTTTTGATTTCCTGCGTTCTCCTTTAGTTTATGTTCTGAAATACGCAAAGATTTGTTAAAATTTGGCAATGCAAGAGTTTCGATCACCAAGCTGACTATATATGACAGGGGTAGACCACCTTGGTACTCCAGGTGAAACTACAAATCCCGTCATGGCCGTAGCTGTCAGAGTCTTGCATTGCCTCATGGGACTTGTAGATCCACAACAGCAGGTGTGCTGAGGTTCCCTACCCTTGTATTGCATGATAATGATGCAGTTAAGGTGTATATACATGTTTTTAGGTTCCAAAACTAAACATTGGTTGAAGATATTTCTCAACGTGATGAAAAAAGTCTGAAAATACTAGATGCCTGGCAGCTGCCTGGTGTCTGGCTCCAGTAGTTCCGAGTCAGACCTAAGACACGCATGGAGCAAATGGAAGTCGGAGGAAAGTCAGAATATCTGTATACTTGTACCAAGATAGTGACTCATAGAGCACCTGAATGACCCCAGGCATATAGCATTCTCAGAAGGAGAGGTCAGCACTGCCTGCCTCCATATTTCTTTCATGACCGATTTCCCTCAAATGATCACTCATCCCAATACAAGCATTTGGTTTCAGAGTCATATTTGACTTGCGGCCTATTCCTACGTTTGCTCAGTTGCTTTTGACATTATGATGGAGGCCTCGCTCTCAATAGGCTGCATTTTACATTTTCATTTAGATCAAAGAATGCATCAGATGGAGTGAAACTCTGCAGGGAAATTGGGCAGAGCTGGGACCTTTGGAGGTGGGAGAAAGTTTCTGTAAGAACCATATTTTTCCTTTTTAGTCATTTGCCATTCAATGGTAATGACACATTTGAACTATAGGGCAGGTTGTGTTGGCTTTGGGTGCTCTACAGTTGTTCTAAAGGTGCCCATACACTGTGCGATTATCGCACGATAATCGCGGGAAATCCCGCAATCGTACGATAATCGCAAAGTGTATGGAAGGCGTGCGACCGTACAGTAAAAACTTTTGTCTTGGGAGCATGCTAGAAAACCAGCCGAGAATCGTACGATTTTCGGCTGGTTTTTAGCATGATCATAAGATCAATGCCGCACAGGCCGGTGTGCGCACAGGCACACTGCCCTTCAGCATTGCGGTCATCGGAAGCCCGCCCCTCAGGGGGGCGGGCTTGCGATGATCGCAAGTACGATCTGCCTGTCCAAGATGGGCAGATCGTACGTTTTTTTAATTACTTTACAACCATCGCAAGACTAAGGTCTTGCGATGGTTGTAAAGTGTATGGCCACCTTTTAGGAGGGACAGTCGTCACGGTCGTCTGGGAGAACCACTTGCTTTGGCAATGTTGTAATTATCCTTTTCCTCTGATGATCTGATAAAAGCTACTATGCTTAACTGTCCGAGCGATCGAAAAAGGAACTCACATTTTTTCATTTCGTGAAATGATGGATTTGCAATCTGTTCAAGTTTATTGCATGGAGCTAAAGTTTCTTGAAGGTCAGAGCTGATGTAATCAAGTCATAAATTGCTTCCATATTTTGTACTTTTTGTTTCATGATGACTTTGTTTGATCACAAGATTTATATATATTTTGTGAAGTTTAAGAAGTCATACATTTTGATAACTTTGTTTTGTTTTCCAGCTGTGAGCTCCTCGTGTAGAATTCTGAAGTGTAACTCCGAGTTCTGGTCAACGACATCAAACTCCCATCACCACATAGGCGCAGAGGACCCTGTGGAGTTTTGCACAGCGATAAGGTCGTACGCACATTGCACACGGCGCACTGCCCGATTTTGTAGAGGAGACTTGGCTTACCATTCAGCTGTCCATGGCATTGATGACCTCATGATCCAACACAACTGTTCAAAAGATGGCCCCACCTCTCAGCCTCGTGTACGCACTCCTCCTCCATGGGACAGCCAGGAAAGGTCTGACAGCCCTGAGGTCTGTAATTATGAAAAGAATTTTCACCGGCATGCTTCCTCCCCAAATTACACCCACTGCGGACTCTTTGGGGATCCCCATCTTAGGACGTTTTCGGACACTTTCCAGACCTGCAAAATACAGGGGGCATGGCCTCTTATAGACAATAACTACTTGAATGTGCAAGTCACCAACACTCCTGTACATTCAGGGTCCACTGCAACTGCTACAAGCAAGGTAAATTGAGTCTTTACACTGGTAACCTGTGGACTAACTAAGCATGTAACCATAAACTTTATACCAAGAACTCACAGGCTGCTGCAGCAGGATTCATGTACTATATGTGTAGAAAATCTTACAAAAGAAAGGGTTTTTGTTTCCCATATCAGACGGCTTCCTTCCTTTATCTGTATTCCACTGCAGGTTTGAAAATCCAGTGAATTTTCTGATTGGTTGTTGTGAACAACAAGCATACTCTGAGCTTATGGGTTAAACTAATGTTGCTGCAGTTTTCTACTGAATGTAGAGTATTTGGAGTTGGTCATTTGATCTCCAGATAGGTTTAGATCTCTCCTGGCACTGTGTTCACATTCTTTCCATTCTTTTAACGCTTCAGGCTGAAGGATCAATTAGACTTTTTTGACACCTTTGGCCTGAAAGCTAAATAGTATTTTATTAATTGTCTGTCTTCTACACCTATGATATGTCTATCTTGCTTTAAGTTTTTTTGTTGTTTTTTTTTAAGCCATGACTGCTTAGAGCATAGTAATGTAGAAAGTATAAAAACGTATACTAGGCATATATTTGCTCTGCCTCTGATTGTGTCAAATCCAGCATTAAAAGCTTTAGTAGATATGGCAGATCAGTTAGATACCGACTACTGTTTTAACAATGAACACATAGCAGC